GTGTACACATACTACACACTCACACAGACACAGACACCACATACACACGCATGCACACATGTATGCCACACCACAAACACTCATGTACACACACGTGCACATGCACATGGCACCCACACAGAGACACAGCACGTCCCTTGTTGGCCCTTACTGGAGAACCAGGTCCATGGGCGCAGCACTGGGGTCAGGGGCCGTGGGCGGGGGTGAGGCCTGGGCCCCCACTGCCCCCTCCTGGAGGAGACGGTCCAGGACCTGCGGGAAGCCATGTGGCAGTCAGCGCGGGTGCTGGGGAAAGGCTAACAAAGTGCCCGCCCTGCATCCTGAGAATTGCCCCTCTTCTCAGGAGCCCTTCCTTCCTGTTCCAGAAAGACAGCCAGCCCAGCGCCCTGCCATCATCTTCCCTGGGATTTCAGGAGGCAGACAGCTGGGACGTTCTCCTTCAGGTCCAGCCTACCCTCTCCCGACAGAGCCCTGAGTGACAGAGAAGGCGCCAGGGCCCTGCCCCACCCATAAAGCCTACTGTGGCCTTGGGGACGATTTCAGCTCCTGGGGTCCCAAGCTGCTGGGTGCTGGCATTCTTCCCAGGCCTGGCAGCGGAGTGCTTATCCATGTGTGCCACCAAGGGGCACCACGGAGCTCATGGTGTGTAGGCAGTAGAGCACACCAGTGCTGCTGAAAGCCGCAGTCCAGCTTCCGGCAGCTGCCTGCCCTTGGCCTCCTCAGGGACTGGAAGCTCTGACGGCTCCCTTGCAACCTGGTGGCAGAGTAGTGACACCAGGACTGCGAACCGCTGGGTCGGTAGTTAAAATCCACCAGCCACTCTTCTGGAGAAAGAGGAGGCTGTCTACCTCCATGGAGTTATACACTCAGAACCTCACAGCGGCGGCTGGACCCTGCCCTATTGAGTCACCGTGAGCCAGGACGGCCTTGAGTTAGGTTTGAACGGGCTTGAGTTAGGTTTGAACGGGCTTGAGTTAGGTTTGAACATTCACAGAAAGAGGGCCCGGCCTCCAGGGATTCTGCCCTTGCAGTGACCTTCAGCCTTCGGCCTTCGGTGCTGTGCCAGTGTTCAGGGCTTTGTTTGCCTTCCTGGCAGAGTAGCATTCCACTGTGTGTACGTACCCCAGTCCCCCAGGAAACACCTTCCACTCAGTCTCCTCCCCTGGCCCCAAAGACCCTGCCCCCACAGTCAGAACTGAGTCAGCAGAGCCTGTGCCCACAGGCAGAGTAGTGGCCCGAGGGCCCCCGGGTCCACACCTTACTGAGGTTTTCCTGGGCGTCCTGGGCCTCCGTGTTGCAGGCAGCCACGGAGCAGCCAACCAGGCGCAGGTGGTTCCTGGTCTCGTGCACAGCCCTAGAGAGAGCAGACAGGAGAGACTGAGGAAGTGGCCCAGGAGGCAGCTGTTCCCTCCACACCTGCTGGGGCCCAGCCACCTGCCTCCCTGCCTTCCTCTGCCCCCCGCTCGAGCCCACCCCGCTGGGCTGGAATCCTTCCACGGCTCTGATGACCTGCTGGAACCCCCTGGGGAGTGTTGCAGAGATGCAGTGGTGGGGGCAGGTCAGCACTGGCTGCCTCTGGCTGTCATCAGCCAGGGGCCAGGGCACATCCAGAGAGAAGCATAGTCCTCTGAGGCACCGCACACTGGGCACTGCCCTCACCGCCGACTTCCTGCCAGCCACGGCCAGGAGTCTTTCATGAAAGGGAGCAAGAATGGTTCCCGTCCACTGCCCGGGGGGACCCGGGGCCAGAGAGGTTAAGGCAGTGATTGGTTCTCCCCGCTGGCCCCCACTCAGGTCCGGGAGGGGGCCCTTCATAAGCCTCTGATGCCCAGACCAATGGAATCAGAGTCGAGGGGGGCTGGCAAGGGGGGCGGGGGAGTCACGTGGAACTCTGATGTCAGGACCTCGGCCTCCTGACAGCCCACGGTCACCTGGGTCTCAGAACCCAGCCACACGTGGGAGA